GAGGGGGAGATAGGAAAAAATTTTCTTCAACAGAAATAAGTTGTTAGTAAAGATCTATGTACATATAAAATTTCAGATTTCTATCTTCAAGGGTGTAGAAGTTTTGCAAACATGTCCACGGACGGACGGACACAGTGAAACTTATAAGCACTTTTTTCAAAAAATTTTTTGGAAAAGTGCTAAAAATAGGGGGCACATGAAAGCTAGTCCACACTTGTCAGCCTTATCAATCAACTATTTGACATAATTCGGATACGTAGCATCAATAATTGCGAATATCCCGTTTTTCGGTTGAATAAAAATAAAAATTAAAAAATTAAGATTACTTACAGGCCTTAGTTCATCCCTGAGGATTCTATATAATGGAATAAAAAACGATAAAAAAACAAGCGTATCATTGATTCACCTGCGATTCTTTTAACATTTTCGGTGGTGAACAATCCAAGAAAGAACGGTAAGAACTTTCAGATGTAAATTATATTGGCAACATTAAACTAATAAAATTTTTAAGATCAACTAGAATCAAATAAAATCTTAACTTTGTGTACAACATAATACATTACACAATCGACGATCAGAGATAAAGACAAATTGTGCAACAGCCAGATTAAAATCAACAAATTTACTAAATTTATTTGAAAATGCAATTTTCAAATATTTTAAAACAACAGTTTTGGCATAACAGTACATAATAGGGATTTCGGAAATGAAAAATACTTTCGGGAATTGCACAACATTTAAAGATAGCTTTTTCTTATAGATATTTTCTGAGACATTAACACTGTCCACAGTTAAATCCGCTCATGGACATGGAAACTTACTTTACCTCTACTATTTAGGGTGAGCCTTATATTTGGCATTTTCATTAAAATGTTCAAATTAAAATGTTTCGTTCACACAACCCTAACTTACAATTGACTTTCTTAAACCAACAGTTTTATATAGAAACATGTGAAAATAGTCTGCGTCTCTATTTCTATCTTCTTTCTATATATTTTCCTAACTTGTTTATTAAACTTCAACAATAACATCTTTCTTTATCTTTATACGAATAATTTAATGGGTAAATAAAATTTAAATTCTTATTAACAATAATACTAACCTATACTAATATTTTAAAATGAATTTAATATTCTGTAAACATGAGTAAAAATAGAAGAAGAAGAAAACATTTATGTAAAATTTATTTTTATAATCATACTTTCAAATATTTTATTATTAACTGGTTCTTTTGGCAATAAAGCTTATAATAGACGTAAGACGTATAAAAAATATTTTTAACTATTTAACCATTTTTTATTGAAAATATCATTTACATTTATTTAATTAATTTTACATTTCTACACATAGTTAATTTAATAATGAAAAAAGGTTAATTACCTTAATTTAGTAAAAACCTTGAAAGAAAAAATTACTTTTCTTTTCCTGCTCATTGGGTCGTATTTCATCTTATAAGTGTTTAAGTTTCTTGTGCAATTTTGAAAAATTTAGAAATATTTACCTTAAATCAAAAATGAGTTTTGTGATATTAATATTGCTGATTAATTGAAGCACATTAACATATCTGTATCATTTCTAGGTAAGTATATAGTTTTTTTCAGCTTTCACATACAAAACTGTCGTTTATGACTGAAAATCCAAGAGAAATTTTTATATAAACTCTAGAAGAATTTCCACCATGTCATTCCTTAATTCAAAATCCTAAATTTAATTTTATTATCTTTTTAAAAATTTTAGGGAAACAACTTTGCTCCTGTATGAAATAGAACGAAAGTAGAAGGAATCACTTAAAAAGTTCTGCACTAAAACGTATTTTTATTATATTTTTTTTTTCCTTTGTTCACTCCTAGAAGGAGCATAGGGCTAGTGCATGATTTCTCATGCACTAGTTTCATAGCGTCATAGGGTTTAACTAGGTAGGCGACTAGCCTGCCGTAGTTTTTATTTATATATTAATTATTTGAGGTTATTAATATTTACTATTTATTTTTCTTAGTTTTTTTTTTTTAATATCGAATATTAGGAATATTTGAAAATTACTTGTATAATATTTTTATTAGTATTGTATATTAAGTTATAATAATATTGAATATAATTTTTATAGTGACCTGACCGGGGTTTGAACCCGAGACCCTTCGGTTAAAGGACCGGTGCCATAACCACTGCACCAATGATCAGATGAGGTCAGATTTTATTATATTAACAAAGGGGAAATTCAAGCAAATTTAAAATTTTTAAAAAAGGAAGAGTTTTCTTTAAAAATTACTGATTAATTGAATTGCGGAATTGAATTAAAAAACAATGCCCAAAAATAATTAATTGTCAAAATGTTTATTTTCATACCTTTTACTCTATTACAATTTCTCATTGGCCCCTTTTTTCTCAATAAATGTCAAATTTTAAAACAAGTATCAAAAAAAATAATTATTCTACAAGCTATTTCAAATTTTATTAAGTTCGTCTATATAAATAAGAATTTATTTTAAATTTTTAAGCTCCCGACTATCATTTTAATTAATTCATCTGAATATCACTTTAATATTATTTTATAGATTTCAAGAGGAACACAATTTATTATTATCAAGAATCGAAAATTCTATAGAAATTTTGTATACTTATGCATAAAAATTAACTAACCTCCCGAACAAACAACAAATTTTTTTTCTTTTTGAATATCAATCTTTCGGTATTAAGCATAAAGTAAAGATCCTTAAAAAAATAAATATAGAATTATGTAAATATACGAGATTCCGCAAAAAAAAAAAATTCAAGATAATTAATATTAATTTAATATGTATATGTATGTATGTATATATAAACATAAAAAATATAATTAAGGATGAATTAATTAATTTTTGACTTATTAGTAAGCCAAAGTTATAAATATTAAATGAAAAAAAAAATTAATTCCTTTATGTATTTGTTTTTTTCTTCATCTGAATCAGCATTATTTATAAAATTTTTGTCATCACGATTACTCTCTTGATTCTTATATGTATGTATAGGCAATATGTTGGCATACAAATAAATCACTTATAAAATTTTATTATAGTAAATATACAAACCATTTACTTAAATATTTTTCTTATCTCTTTTATAAGGAAAAAAAATTCATGAATAATAAATTCTATCTATCTTTATATCTCATAAACCAGTATAAGTAGCAGAAAATAAAATTTAATATTTGTTTTTAATAATAATCATTTTTTTTATTCTTATACACGATCACATTAGATTTGTTATTAGGTTTTAATGTCTGTCACTAAAATCCAGATTTAGATAGTATGAAACGATTAAGAAACCCACATAAAATAAACATAGTTTTTGCATTATTTTCATCTTCTCTTTTTAAAGATAACCCTCTTATTTTTTTTACATTTGCTTTTATTGAATTAAGGTATAGATTTTTTTACTGACATACTAACTTTATATATATACACTTGACATAGTGGTCAAGGTGAAATAAGTAATTTTTATCTTAACCGATGAACGCTTTAATATTAAAGAATATTTATTTTTTTTTTTCTGTTTTTAATTTGTGCCGGAAACATGCAATAAAATAAAATTTTGCTTTTTTAGAAATTTGGAAATGTTAGATTTTAAAATTATTCTAATAGGTTTCCTAATAGGGTTGTTCTAACAAAGTTAATTATTTTTCTAAAATTATTGTTTTAATTTGAAAAATGGTAAACAAAGAAAATTATTGAGAAAAAATTTATCATCTGCAAATTCTATTGGTATAGAATTTCTTTAGCAATTAATGTTGTAGTATATATGTATGTTGAGTTCGGAAAAAAAAAATCAACATAATATTATAGGGTAAGATAATCGAACATATGGTAGGCTTCACAGAATTACAAAATTATCATTGTATCCATTTTGTACTAAATCAAAATATTTGATTTGTAAATTATGGCTTATAAAATAAAAAAAAAATTTTAGAATAAAAATAAATGTGCATTGATGACAAAATTTTATTTTTTTAATAATTAATATTGCAATCATTATAAAAAATTTATTGGTAATTATTCGAATTCGATATTTTGATTTAGCCCAAATTGACTTCTAAAATTCGAGCCCCGAATTTAAATATATTATTATTTTGCCTTAAATTTCAATTTTAAAATAAATTAAAAAAATCTATTTTAATTAAATTATTTCGAATTGCATTAATTATTTGGAATGGCAGTATAAATAATGCGTCAAATCTAATACCGAAAAATAGAATCAAATGTGATTTCACTATGAATTGCTATTGAATTTAAAAAAAAAATTAGCTCCTACATTAAAACAATTCCAAATTATTGTTCTTTATTTACTCAGCTTTTGTTGTTTATTTACTTGTCCTTAATTATTTTATTATTATTTTAATTTTAAGTTATTTTAATAATTATTGAATCAATACATAAATAATATTGATAATCGATTTCAAATTAAAATATTTAATTTTCGATATCTTCTTCTTCAAGTAAATGCACGCATATTCATAATTTTAAAATTTCAATACAACTTTAATTCAGCATAATTCAGTAATTTTAATTCATTGACTACATAAACACATTCATTATGGAAATTTGAAATCAAAATATTACGGGCCCATTAACTAAACAAAAAATATTCAGAGAAAAATTATTGTAATATCACATTTAATTTATTAACTAAGATTAATCCCCAAATTTTCTAAAAATATTTTTAGTTAATCCTTGTATAATATCCTGCACTCCGTTCGATATATATAATGTGAGTATTTGATAATGAATAATGTGAGAAATTAATTAATAATATTCCAATTTGGCACCAAAAAATTATTCTGAAACTAAAAAAATCTTTTAAAATTATTGAAACATGTTAAACCAAGAAAAAAAAAATTAAAACAAATTTTAATAACTTTTTATTTTTATATAACAAACATTTTTTTTTTCGAAAAGTTTATATGATTTCACTTATTTCTTTTATATATATATAATTAATAATTAAAAATTTTTTTTTGTATTTTTTTTCTAAAACATTCCACCATTACAAAAATCTGTATCACAAATTTCACAATATAATGCTTGATATTTTCTTTTCTTATCGTTTTTGACTTTTTCACAGAATTTTGCATCAACACATTTTCTATCGAAAACGGTATGTCCTTTCACTATATTAAAAATAAAAATAAAAAGAAGAATTTTAAAAATTTAAATAATAATTTTTAGAATTTTTGTTTTTTCATTTTTTTTTTTCAAAATTACATTAAAAATTAATTTCAAATTTCAATTTAAATTTCAACTTACTGTTAACGTGTGCCTTTAAACAGGAATGTTTACATTCAACAACTAAGGCACCGCCATTATCTGATATCATTTGTGGACCGCATACTCCAGTTTCATCACTTTGACAATCATAACATTTGATTGAATGAACTTTTTTTTTTTTTTCAAATTATTGAACATTAAAAATAATACAAAAAAAAAAAATAAAAGATTAAAATTTTTATATATCCTTAATTTTGTGTATCCTTTTTAATTTTAATCACTATTTATTATTCACGTTTTATGTTTTTTTTTTAATAACTTAACTCACCATCATGAATTAAATATAGAATTAATCCTAATATAAAAATCACTTTCATATTTGCCGCAAATTTTAGAAATAATTGAAAAAATACAAAAAAAAAAAAATTATTTTAATTTTTTCAATTAATTTTTAATATTTTTTTTTTTTTTCTAAATTTAATTATATATTTTGTGTTTTAAGCTTTGAATTTCTGGATCAGCAAGATTTCCGATTAAAGTAAATTTTGATTTTAATTCGCCTTATATAAATTAGTAAAAATCTATTTAGTTTCTTGTATGCTATAGCCAAAGAAGCTTTAATGTAACCAGATTTTTTATATAAAAATTGATAAAGAAAAAGCTTTCATATTATAAAATTTAATTTTAAAAAGTTTAAGATTTTAATATTAAAAATAAACCGGTGATTATTATCTTAAATCTTTAATAAATTTAAATTCTTAAACTTTAAATTTTTATTTAAAAATTAAGAATTTGGTAGATTCAATAAAGAGTATATACAAGAATCATAAATGAATCAATGAATTGCTATGGTAAATTACAAAAACATTTTGTCGAATTTAATTCAAAATTTGTTTAGACTTGATTTCAGTGAGGCTCAATTTAATAGCATAATGTAAATATAAATAACAGCAGATTCCGTTCCTTCAAAATTGTTGTGTAATTATAATAAAGTGTATATTGTATAAATTATGATAATAATTGGATTGTGTTATACTCAACAATTATTCAACTTATAAGCTGTAATATAAATGAACACCATATAATACTGCAATTCGTAAGTCAGAAATTGAAATGTTTCTCAATTAATACTTAGTTTCACCTGGACGTCTGGAGATATCTGGCAATAAGTCGAACTGGATAAATATAAATTAATATCGACGAATTGTAAAATTTGTATGAATTTGAACTCAATTCACGAAACAAAAATGAAGAAAGCAGCGGGTACCATTTTGATACTTGGATATATTCATACGGAAACAATTTATTCAGAAAATGAGTCAATTCCGATATTGATTTCTGATACATAATATTTTCGATTTCAAATTATTTTAAAACCTGTAATAACTCTTACGCACCAAAAAATATTCAATATTTTTTTAAATTTTTTATAACAAATACATTATTGCTTATTCCTATACTTGGCATATATTAGCAATAAATTGATATTATATATGATAAGTAAGTTTTTTAAAACAAATGAATTAAATGGCTCTTTTTTACATTTTGATCTTTTAAGCTCAGACTTCTATTGTTAAAGCATATAAAAGTTATGTGATGCAAATGTTCATGTTCAAACTATTCAAAAATTGAATATTATATATTTACATATTTGTTTGAAATTTTGTAGACAATACAGTCAGAAAACGGAACTAAAATTTAAAATTCAATTTTAGTTTAATGATCTCTGATCAGAATGCTAATGTAGAATTTGAACATTATTATAACAAATTCGGATTCGGATTATTATAATTAAATTCTGAGTAAATTCAAAAATTTATTTAAATTTTTATAAAATATTTGATTTTTAACTTCAATTTTTTGATATGTACTTTAGTAGCGGAAATATTTTTAGACTCTGGATTTAGTTTTTAACCGTAAAAAAAATTATCATTTTAATTTTCATTTAACTCTTCTGATTATTGAATATTTTGTTTTAAATTGCAAATTCGATTACTTTACTATTCAAATTACATTATTATTAAAATTATGGTATTTCTCAAAATTGTGTAAGAAAGTAAATATTTAAATTAAATATTTCATTTGTTCCTAAAAACGTAAGAATCTGCTCTACTTACTCTAAATTGTCCTCATATTCTCTAACAATACCACAAGTAGAAAAACAAAAACAACTCAACGAACATTAATTAATAAATCCGGGAGGGAAAGAAAACAAAATATTCTATTTATGACAAAATTTAAAAATTATTCTCAATTTCAGTTCTAAAATAAACCAGTTCTTTAGTTCTAAATTCTGATTGACACTATCATTAATTCATTTTGGCCGAAAAAAAACAAAATTTGCTATTATTATTTTAGCCTTTTCCTTTTCAAATTAAGAAAACGAGCAAAAGTAAAAAAATGGGGTGTTTAAAATAATTTGCTATTTTTTTTTTTTATTTTTATTCAAAAATTTTATAGAAAAAATGATTTAAACATTCTCATACAAAATTCATAATGTCAAAGAGTTCATAAAAGAAGATGCCGAAATAAAAAGAAAAATTGCCTCCTGTTGATTAATTTTATGTGTGTTATAATATTTGTGTGTGTGTGTGTATATATTAGTCATGTGAATTGAAAATATAAGCTATAATAGAAAATGACATAAAAATTTTATTGAAAAAAAAATTTTGATTTTTCAAACAAAAGATTTTACTTTGGACAATAAACTCTTTCAATTAGGATAATGTCCTTTTGTTTATAATTGTAAACTTTTGAAAAGAGTACAATATACTATTAGGTTGATATTGAGGAAATTATTATTCATGAATTTAAAATTTAATATTGAAAGCAGAAATAATTAAAAGAGGTTCTGGGCTTTCTGCGATAGTCAATAAAAAAGTTAAATCTCAATTTAGTATCTATCATAAATTAATAGAAATGGACACACTACTGCCAAGTTTTTTTAATCTAACTTTATTATTTTCCCAAATATTTAAAATTAGCTTTTTGAGTTGTAAGGGCTGCTTCCCGAACCAGGACACACACTCTATACATATTTATGTTTGCATATGTATGTTGTCACACTATGTGTACATATGTTTGTTTGCAAATATTATAAGAAGTACTAAGAATTCAGTTTCTAATATCGCATACATTTAACTAACATCACACCCATTTATTACCAAGTTTACATCCAAATTTTAGACTTAGTAGAAGTAGAGGAAATCTTTCTATAATTCCTATTATAATGTCCTTAATATTAATGAATACAAAACTTGTAATATAAAACTGAAACCTGTAATCTTTTAATGATAAAATTTGAAATTGTTTGCATTTCTAATACCACACCCACCATAAATATGGTAATAATTATTAAAAAAACTTCTTAAACTACTAGCTTATTTTTTTATGTTGTTTATAAAAGCTTTCGCATAGAACTCATTATTATTGCTTTATTTTTTCCTTAGAATAATTCTAATTTTATGACTTCATTTCTACCGTAGAAAATCGTTCATTTAACCATAATCTACCTCAATTCATATTAAGATTTTTAATTTTTAAAGCGGTTCAATTCAGTTTTCATTCAATTCAGAAGTTGAAAAACACTATTTTTAATTGTCGCTAATGATATCTAAATGTTATTTGTATACACTCAAGTATATTACTCGTATATAAAAGATTTCCGCAATTTCTATATTGAAAGACTAAGCTTGATTATTTAAAAAATTCAATAAAGCTTATCTATAGAATATTAAGATGTTTATTCAGTGTATTCTATTGTTATCACTAATTTGAACCATCAATTAATCATAGGTAATTAAGCTGTTGAATTGAAACGGGGTTTTTTATATTATCTGATGAAAAATTAATAGAAAAAGAAGTAATTTTTTTTTTTTAAATATGAAATTTTATTGTCAACTAATTTTATAATTTATTGATTTTAATAAATTTTGGAAGTGGTTTTTAATATTTCTAAATTTAAACTTAGTACTACTCGTAAATTTGCAGTAGGTTTCGTAGTTAGCAGCGGCAAGAATCATTGTCTAAAAATGATGTGTTATAATTTAGAAGTTCTTTTGTAGTTTAACGTTTAAAAACTACAATTACAAACAGGATACAATTACAACAATTTTTGAAAAAAAGTGCTTATTAGTTTCACTCTGCCCATAACATGTCCGTGGACATGTTTACAAAACATTTACCCCCTTGGAAATAAAAAGCTGAAATTTTATACGTACATAGATCTTTGAAGCATATTTCTGTACAAGAAAATTTTCATCTATCCCCCCCCCCTCTAAAAGTTATAGCCCCCCAAAATCCTAAAAATGCCAATTGTCGACTATTTATTGTAACGAAACCACAAATATTTATGTTGAATGCGGAAAAGTAGTTTTGAGATTTTTCTACCGCCGCATAGCATATTTATACTTTAAGAAAACCTTAAATGGCCGTTAAAATTTACCGTTATCTAAAATACATTTTTTTCAAGTTTTTAATATCGATTTTTCTCAGACTGTAGGAATCTGAATTTTTCACAACTTTTAACATTAATAAATAGTTGATTTGTTGGAAGAAAATTTTTTTTTCACCTCCACTCCCTCTCAAGTAATCGTCTCTCGAAATTTGTCAAACTCGAATATTTGGCACGTTATTTATCCGCAACTGCATATTTTTCCAAATTTATATAAATCTAGAAAGCTAACGGTAAATGTCATGCCATTGAAAATTTTTGTTTTCTTTTCTTTCAAAAATTTAATATGTAGTTCATCCTAAATATATGCAATCTTTGAAGTATATTCGTATACAAATTAAAGTAATTTTAATAATGTTGTATTGGCTTGGATTGTGTTTAGAAGCAGTCTTTTCAATTGTTGAAGGGAAAAGTGCTACAATACAAACCATTGGTTTAATCCAAATTCATTTTCAGCAAGATTTGAAGCTCTGTTGGAAATAAAAACTAAGAAACTATATTGTTCAAATGGCGAATCATTTTGATAAAATGGCGATTTTCCTCCTTGGCATGAGTATATTTTTCTTAAAAATATAAAATTTGCTATATCGGAAATTTATCACACTTCAATTGATATACAGACTTGCTTATCGTGAATATGATGTACTTTTCTGCAAAGGGTCTGTTGTATGTCGTCTATAGTATTTGACTAATTAAACAAGCATTTTAATAAAATTATACGAATTTATTGTAATTTCTATCAATACTTATTCCTAATTACTTGTTAAGATCTTAATGTAATAAACAAACAGGTTTTAATGTCAAAATTTAAATTTTAAATTGTTAGAGTGAAAAAGTTAAATTAAAAGTTAAATTACTGTTAAATTAACAGTAAAAATAGTTTTGTATACGATTTTGTTATTATTCTTATAAAGCTTTTGTGGTTATTTTTTTGATATTTTTGGGTCCAGCAAGAATTTTGAAAGCTTTTTTATATGTTTTTTTACAATATTCAGATGGAGTATTTGTGAATTTCGACCAAATATGATTCTTTTCTTTAAAAGATCCCACATTATTCAAAGCAGTTGTGAAGACTTTTTCAATAAAACGCTACGTCCTTCATTTTTACGGAAATCCCTTTTTTATAGGAGTAAACACTAACCTATACATATGAATATAGAGAATTTAACGTTTGTTTCTCATACTAAATTATTAGGCCATTTTGTTGAATTAATTATTTTTACCACTATTTTGCATATATATATATAAATATTAGTAAATTTGGCAATACTTTAGAACTAGAACGTTTTAAATAACATTTATTGTTTAAATTAAAACCAAAATGAATGAGTTCATTGAAAATTTCTTTTGATATTCATAACCTTCAAATATATTATCCAGATAATTATTTTTAATCCTTATTGATTTTGGATAATAATTGATTAAAACACTCCCTGCTCTAATTAACAAATCAAAAATGAACACGATTATATTCAATAAAATTTTATTCACACATTAATCTATGCCTCTTTTTTATATAGAACGTGCTTGAATTATATTTCCTATATATTTAATTAGAGCCTAGTGTAATACAATACTATTTTTTATTAAAAACTTGTTCTAAATGATTAACGTTACTACATTATTATATTCTCACAATAAATTGTGAGTAATTCAATCAGTATAACAGTTTCATGTGTAAATTTGATTTTGTTGCCAGTTTAAAAAGATTTATGTGCGAGCATGGAAATTAAAAAATAATTAATATTATTTTTTTTTATCATGCTATAAAATATTATATGCACGAAAATGGAGAGGATCCCTAACGAATAAAAAATACCAAGCGATATTTTGCTTTTTGGACACTCCTTTTCAATTTATTAAAATATGTTTAGTTAGACTATAGTTCAAATTTCTTTTAAACTAATCGAACAAATCATTTGAAATAAATTTAGGGTATTAATTGTTAATATTATTAAAATTTCGGGGAGCTGGAATTAAAAATTAACTTAAATTTTTTCAAAACTTATTTAACTTAACACTTAATTTAAAAATTAATAATTCCATCTTAAAATATTCCTGAGTATTAAAACATACATATTACATAAGACACCAAATCAATTAATCAATTATAATCAGCTAAAACTCGATTTTATTCAAAAACTGCATACTAACAACCCTACATAAAAGTTACATGCACCTTCACCTAACATTAAATCGCTTTTCGCTTCAGTCAGCATTTTAACATGGGGAGAAATATTTTTTTCCAAATTAATGACGTTAAGAAAATTTTTTACTTTGTAACACTGGCGATGCATATAAAAGAACCAAAGCTGTAAAATTAATTGTTAGTTTATAAAAAAAAATCCACTTATTCAGTGTTAATATTAAATTAATAAAATAAAATATGAAATCGTCATTAATTTTATTAGCGTTCTTGTGCTCATTGCAGTATTGTAAGTCATTTAAATTCCATATAATACGTATAACATTAATTAAACAAATGGTATAAAAATCACATATTAATTAATAAATTTTTAGCTTGGACAATCAAATGTTATATGTGCCGAAGTTCTCTTGAAGGTCCATGTGGTGAATTACTTGATAAAAAAGCTGAAAAACAACCATTTGTTCGGATTGAAGATTGTAATAAAAAATGTATGACAGCCAAATATAATTTAAGAGGGGATAGACTTTATGAACGTTTGTGTACGGATATTGATTATTGTAAAAATTTAAAAGAAGGTCATAAAGATCCTACTGCAATCTGCAAAGAATGTACAACTGATTTATGTAACACGGATTTGTTTTAATTATTTGAATGAAGAATTTCAATAAATTTTTGTTATCAGCATAGTAATCAGAGCATTTTAGTGTTAAAAATGTAATTATAAATCGAATATATCAATTAAATAATAAAATAATAATATAAATAGCAAATAATATGTAATTTTTTTAGTAAAAGTGAAGGAGATACAAAATAGCAACATTTTTATAATATTAAATTTTAGGCACGGTTGGAATAAATAATGTTTTTGGGACCTCTTTGAATTCTCTAAATTTCAAAATTATATTTAATTCCATGTAATTCAAAATACTTCCCCTATAAATTCAAATTGTTTTAAACCAATATTATGTTCATAGTATAACACTATCTATATGCTAAATGCGATATACAATCAACATTTATATGTATAGCTATAGCAAAATCAAGTCATGTTATTCAACATTTCTGGTTATTTATTGCTACTTAACTTGTATTTAGATATCCTGAGAAGAAAATAAATAAACATGAGATAAATTAATGGCTTATAAAGTAGCACATTTCCCTTTTAAACAATTGGAGTTATTTAAAGTAAAAATTATATCTTTTATTGAAATCTTTTCTCACTACTCATTCTAATTGCATACATTTCGGATGAAAGCAAATTAAAAAAAGTACTAACGTAATTGTTGAATTAATCTACTAATAAGTAAGCAGTTAAGCAACTAAATAAAATACTGAATAATATTAAAAGTAAATTGTCGAAAATTTATATTTTAATAAAATATTTAAAAGACGATAGACAACCCGGTAAGAAAAGGAGTCAGAATATTTGAAAAGCGCCATTTTTCTCCGTTTAAGTAATTTAAAAATTTTATTTTTAACACATTTAGGTGTCGAAAATTTAGCATTTTGTCGATTTTATGTGTTATAAAATTTAAAATGGAAGGAATTAATCTCTAACAATAAAAATTTTTTCTAACAATTTAGCAGTTTTGTAAACAGATGCACAAAGAAACTGACTGAATGAAATTAATAAGACCATTTGTTTTTTTTTCCACTTCTTTTTTTTGAAATTTGCTAAGCAATTAATTTTAGGAAGAAAATAATTTTACGTAACAAATTTTATAAATAACAAAATCACATTAAACGGTTTTTAGTTCATACAAAAAAAAGTTAGAATAACAACAGTTTGTAATTTTCTCGATATTGCTTTCAGAAAAAGTACACTAAGCTACTATCATCAAATAATCTACTTCTTCTTCTATTGTGTAAGTAACCTTAGAAAATATGCCAAATTTTATTGTAATTTTTACATAATGGTCTTAAATAGGAACTCTGTGTATTACCATACTTGTATCGCTCTACATTTTTTGGTAATTTTCTTTTAAAATTGCAATTTTTTTATTAAATGAGGCTCTCAGCACATTAGTGGCTTACTTGCAAAAATGACATTTCGAGTAAATTGTGATTAAATGTTAAATACTGAATTTTTAAGAAAATTTTTAAAAAGGCCAAATGGACTGAAAAGAGGAGTAAACTAAGTATTTCGAAAATATAGAACAATTCTTTAGGCCATTACAAGCTCAATTGACCATAATAACTCATTTTTGCAAAAATGTTGAATAGGTCACTAATGTACTGAGTGCCTCAAATTCGTTTTAGGTAAAACAATTAATTGGTAATCCACCAAGCCCCTAAATTTATGTGATAATTATTTTTGATTATTTCAAAATTTATTTTATACCTTCTTCTAAGTTGTTAAGATTTTTAGTATTAGTAGCTGAAATCTTTTATATATTACAATTATATGTCGAGAAAATAATATAAAAAATATTTTATCATAATATTATATTAATTATTAAATAACAAAAGAATGATATATAAATTATAATTCTGAAATAAAAATAAATTAAAAAAAAATACTGTAAAACAACTTTTTTACTTTGTCGCAACTATTAAATTTATCGAATAAATATTATAAATTTTTTTGTACTCATTAACAACTAGGATAATGGAAACTTGTGTTTGATAACCACAGAGTGGTTTACAACAAGACCGTTTTCATATCAAGTGGAGGCACAATCGATTATATTTTGGTTTAGGTACCGGCCCCAATTATAAATCCCAACGTATTATCAATCATATTTATTAAAGTAGCCTTAATAAATCAAATGTTTTAAAAGTGCTTGATAATTGCGCTTTGAAAAGCACTCAATTTACACCATTCCGAAATTACAGAAATGTAATAGTGATGTTAAAATCGACTTTTTCGGGAAGCACAATTCTTAACAAATAAAATAATCAAAAAATCAAGTACCTACTTACTATATAAAAATGATTATAAATACGTTTTTTTCGAAACCAGTTTCTTCAAGAATCAAATTCTTAAAAGGTTCAACAATTTTTTAAAGAAAAAATCCAAATACAAAATGAAGCACTAATAACCTCTTGCATAACCATAATCTATTTTTAGGATCCTCAAATAATCGCAATCAGAAAAACAATTAGAATTAGAATAAAGCTATTTTTTTTCTAATTTAAACAAAAAAAATTTCAGACTATATATAAAAGGTGAAATTTTTACATTTTGAATATCAGTTTAAAATATTCTTTCAAAACAACAATAATTAATTATTAAAGTAATTATCTTTCAAAATAAAAATGAAATCTTTACTGATTTTAAGTGTTATATTATTATATTTTGTTCAAGATGGTAAACATGTGAAAAAATTAAATAAATTATTTTTATAATATTATTTTTAACTCTCCCATTCGCATTATATTTTATGCAATCCGCAGGAATAGCAATAAAATGTTGGGAATGTCATACTATTGCAAAAAGTCCATGTGGAGAAGAATTTAATAAAAGTGAAGAATCGAAAAAACTTCCTACCACCGATTGTAAAACATCATGTGTAACAGCGAAATTAGATTTTAGAGGTGACACTTTATATCATCGAGGCTGTGGTGATGATGAAAACTATTGTAAAAATTTAAAAGAACAACATCATAATCATAATGATGATTGTAAATTTTGTTCAGAAGAATTATGTAATACAGAAATTTTCTCATGAAAATTTTAATTTTTTGACAAAATAAATGAATATTATAAAAGAAAATTTTTTTTCAAATTAAATAACTTGTTTCGTATATTATTAATAATTTTGCTAATATAACAGAAATCTCATTGATATGATTTAGAAAATAATATAGAAACTATATATTTATAAGAAAACGACCTTTTATCAAATTAAATATAAGTAATTCAACTTCCAAACAAAATTTATTTGACCCAAAGTAAATTTTTAATTATATTTCGCACTCTTTACTTCTCATTGTATTGTAATTGTAGCCATTTGCAATTCCTAAATTAGTAAATTAATTTAAATGACAATTTTTATATATTTACGTTAAAAATTAACATTTTTAATTAAGGGTTGTGTCATTCAAAAATTTTCAATTAATTACTTTATTAATTACTACCTTAAATACATAAATGTGGAATTGAAAATTTAAGCTTAATTTGAAGTAAAACTGTGCTTTCTAACCATTTGAAAATAATAAAAAATCTGATGTGACAAGCGGATAACAGACCGAATTGTTAAAATGTTAAATAAGATTATAAAAATATTCTTCAAACATTTATTTCAAACTTTATGAAAGACAGAAAATAGCTTTTAGAATTTTAGATAACGTACCTAGAAAAATATAAATTTCACTTTAATAGAGGTCAGTTTTCTGTGATCCTATTTTTCTTCCAAATTTCACAAATAACTTCGTCAACAACCATCTATTAGTTCCTGAGGTATGATAAAATATGTAAATTCGACCCTTTAGTGAAAATCAACTTGGTTACACCTAATTTCCTCAAAAAGTTAGGTAACTTGTTGTAGTTGCTGCTATTAAAGTGTATCACATAATCTCATATTATGAATGATAGCACTTAAAGTTTTAAATGGATTTTTTTCAAATAACTCCAAAAATAGTTTTGCTACAGCTTAATTTCGTATATTGGCGGAATCTGTGAGTTCCTAATGATCACGAAAAACTCTAAGCAACACTCTATCTTATCTTGTTTAGCCAGAAAATGCACTTAAAATTTTTAAATGAATTTTTTAAATCATATAACGGATTATACACAATGCGGTCGGTAAAAAGGACTGATCGTAAATTCTATTTTAATTTTGTCTGTTTACTAACATAACATTTTCATATAACTTTTTTTTTTTCATGTTTATAATAATTTAAATATTATATGAAGAACTCACTGAAAATAACGCCGTAAAGATATTGAAAAACTTGTTAAAATAAAAAAAAAACATATTTACATTTAAAAACGATTATTTTCTAAATAAAATCTTTATTAGAAAATATTATACGATGATTATAATAAAGTTAAAATAAAATTTTATACAGTTGAAAAGTTGTGAATAAAAATTATTTATATTTTAACAAATTTAAATATGATGTAGTAGCAAACTTTTTTAATAGTTATTATATATACTATTTTATTGCAGCATATACATATATACATAGATATCTGTTATATAGTAAACAAGTTTTAAAAATAAAATTTATTTATTTCAGCAATAAATTTGTTAAATTCAACACATTTATAACTTATATTAAATTTATTGTTATAAAAATATCATAAATTATTGTTTTCTTTTAAGGCAATATACATTATCATTTGGGCTATAAATGAAATTCATGCGTGAAATATAAAAGTTCCAATTAATTTCAATTATTTCAAGATTTATGCCCGTATATTTTATATTTCATGTTAAAATCATTGTAAAAAATATTTATGTGAAAAAAAATTCATATTTAATAGTTTTTGGTCAAATCTCTGGAATATTTTCCCATTTTTTACAAAAACATGAAATTCTTGCATGTATTCTGAAAATGGCGATTTTTTTTTACTATACTCCTATTAAAATTGTCTAGTTAATTTCTTTTAACCACAAACATTTTGGAACATATCCAAATAAACCAATTAGTAATTAACTCTTTCGTAACCTTTCCTAAAATATTAAATTAATCCACTTTTAAAAAACATTTGGAAACGCAATGTGTTCTCGAAAATCCTTTAAGTCTAAGGTACTGTTTACATATAGGACAAAATTTAAGATTAAATTTACGATGTCTGCAGGTGACTGTTCATATATCAGACAGAAATGATCTGATAGAGCTTAGATTTTACTTCAAAATAAAAATTTGTTACGAATATTATATTCAAAATAAATATCGGCTGACCCCTATTCCAAATTCTTACAAAAAATTAATTTTTACTATTTTATTTTTAAAATAAAAATCTGATAGTAAATCTAAGGAGAATAGTGTTATTTCTCATCAGATTTATTATTAGATTTACTGTTATTCTATTATTTCTGTTACCATTGGACAAATTCTTATGTCTGATGTCCGTGGGGGTATATTCTTTTCATCAGACCTGAATTAAATCAAAAATTTTATTGTATTTGTAAACAGAATCAAGTGATTAATGATTACGCATAAAAAGATTAAAATTCTAACACTTAGCATACAAATGTACATCACACTAACTCTCTTTGAATATGTCATATAAATTTAATTTAATTTTGGTATAAATAATTTATTGCTGGTATGCTCCACACATCCACTTTATATCTAACTAAAAATTGGTATTAGAAAAAATTCGATTTTGTGATTTAAATAATTTTTGTTTCATTTTTTTTTATTTTTTATTTTTGTACTACATTTCAATTATATAATCTCTAAATAACCACACATCGAATCTTAAACAAACATTATTTTAATTCAATTGCTAAAACCAAAAAAAAAAAAAAAAAACAAAAATATCTGTTATACTTAAAGAATTTCTAATATTTTTAAACACAAAAATTTAATTGTATATAAAATATTTTTCTTTAATTTTAACTAAAACGTTAATAAATTTTTTTTTAATTATATAAAAATGTGTATAATGTAAATTAATTTACAGGTACGCGAAAAATTATAGAATATTATTTTAAATTAACCGGAAATTTTATATATATATGTACAAATATTATAGGTGTATATAAATTAATTTTTTATTATGGGCCATTATTACAATAATTTCCCGAACATGTTTGACAAAGTAATTTCGGCATATTTAATTCTTTTTTTATTTCATCACATCCATCTGGACCAGCACAATCTCTTTTATAAATTGTTTCATTATTATTAACTAAAAAAACAAAATTAAAATTAAAAATTTTTACATTAAATGTATAATGAAATTAATTTATTTTGTTATACATGTATAACAGTATAAAATAATTATTCATAATTACCATCATAATGAAATTTTAAGCAATCACCAGCACAACTTTTTATATTTGTTGTCTCATCATCGAATTCAATACCACATGAACTGATACTTGATCCATTACATTCGAAACATTGATAGCAAATACCTAAATTATTATTAATAAATAAGATTAATAGAAAATTTTAATTATAATATTAAATTTTTAATTTTTAATTATTACCAATAGTAAAAAAAATTAATCTCTAATTTTTTTCAAATCTTACCAATTTGTACAAAATATAAAACAAGTCCTAAAGTAAATAAAAATTTCATTTTTTTAATATTTTTTTTTTTTTTTACAAAATTTACGACAGTAACCTAAAACTTTTTGTTTTTTTTTTTATAAATATTAAAAAGTGCACCAACAACTTTTGTTTTTTTTTTATCAACTATAATATAAAATATATATGCGACTAGGTATGTGTCTATACCAGATCAATTAATAAACCAGAACTAATTTATAACTTTGGAAGCTTTTCTCTTATATAGTAGTAATAAAATTTTAGTTTTCAAACAAGTTATAAATGTAATTTAAGAAATTTTTAATAAATAATTTTAAGAAATAATTTGTTTTCAATTAAAAAAATATAGGGAAACTGATTCATGTCATCGTGATATTTAGGAGAAAGTTTTTAATTTTTTTTTCCACTTTTAAAATAATTTGTTGTAAATATACCTATGTAGGTAGTTACTTCGAAGGTCGAGGGCAATTATTTTACATTAAATTTAAAAAAAAAAAAAACTAGTTCAGTTAATTGAATTGTAAATTCATTAAATACGAGTATTTATTTCTATATTATATTTTTATTAAATTAAATATTTTTAAAAAAATGCAATACAAATGAATGACGATGTGAAAACTGTAATATTATGACTTTAACTATGCTTTTAAGGAATGAATTGAAACATATTTGATTTGCCAAATAAAATTTTTTGTAGAATTTAATTAGCCAATAAAAATATTTGTAATTAAAATAAATAGTTTTTGATTTTAATTTATGAAAATATTTTATATCACTGTCTTAAACAACAGTATGGTAAACTTGCCATTATCATTAAAAAAAGCGCCAAAATATATACTTGTTATATTACTTAAAATTTAAAACTGTTCATTTAATAGTACCTATAAATTTTATACATAAACTCTAAAATTAAGTGCCTACAAATATTAAAAATCTATTTTCCAAAATTTAATTACAAACATAATTTGTTTTTTACACCTTTAATTCAGGGTCTTTTTTAATTTTTGAATGAAAGTATAAGTGATTTTTATTCAATACATGGTTAAAAGTGCGTGCATAAAAGTTACCATAATGAGCTGTTAATAAAATATTGTAAACTTGTATTAATGACAATATTGCAAAAGTTTTTTTTGGCCCTTGCGTGTATAATTAAAATGTACACAAAATTGTCATGAATCAATAATAGAAAAGAAAAGCGAAAAATATTTGCCAATAACTATGCTTTAGAGGAAAAACTGTGGCCAGAAATGTTCTTAGTCACTCGTAAAATCTTTTAAAATGAATATTAACTCGCAACTATTAAATATTATTCAATTCAAAATACTAAAAAATTGTTGCCAAAATATTACTCTAAAATATTATTTAATAATTTCGAAGAACCTTTAATGGTCTCTTTAATAAAACTTGATTTGAAAAATACAAAAATTGAATTCAAAACATTATTCATTATTATACAAAAGTTCAATTGGTATTATTCAACCTACAACTAAAAAATTTAACAAAAGTAGAAACTAAACTAAGGTAAATAACAAATTGAAAATTAGTATTTTAAATTATTGAAAAAAAAAACTGAAAACAAACCATTCATTGTAAATTAAATAAAAAAAAAAAAAACTGTTAATAATTCTTTTTAATGTTTAGATGAAAAGCAAAATGTAAACAACATGCTAATTAAAAAAAAAAACCAAAATAACAAATTGAATTCAAAAAAATAAAAAAATTCATTATAATATTTTCAACCCACTCTTATGAGATACTCAATACTCAACATGACATGCCTATATGACAAAATTGTGAATTAATTTATTTCCACCTCTAAATCATAAGTGTTTTATATCAAGTATTTGGTATATGAAATAATTCACCAAAACAAATTTATAAGAAATACAAAATGAACGAAAATCACGGTAAAATGGAAACTCATTATAAAATATATTATTACAATTTTTTATGTTACAGTTTCTAAATTGCATGTTTGTTATTGCAAATATTGTTAAAAATAAGCGTTGGCCTATAAACAAATCATAAAAATTTTGACATGTTTACGATGTCAATTTTCTTATTGCAAATCTTTAGTGATTGATTCACTTAAAATTAGAAACATTTTAGGCTCAGTTGTACATTATATACTTTTATTTATATTCTCACCGTGATTGATAGAGTTGAGAATAACTATAATAGAATAAAACACTGAAGTTTAGTTAATTATTGTGTGTTTTATTTAGTTAATTATTGAGTGTGTCTTTTTATATTCTAATACATGAAAAACTTGACACATGAATACAAATCCCTCCCGCCCTTCCTTTATATGCACTGCCGTCGAAAAAATTATAGATTGAAATTAAAAAATGAAAGATGATTTTTCGGTGAAACAACTTTCGATAATAAAAAATGTAAGCAAATTTCAGTATTGATAATTGTATATATAAAAATAAACGAAGCTTAATATTAAAATGTTTAACAACATTCTCATTCAAATAATGTGTAATTAATGAATAACATATGCGTATTACTTAAACGTGCTTTATATTATCCAACGATTACAAATTCTATAATCTCAATTTCAAAATCAAAAGCTTTATAGTATACTATATAGAGGCAATTTGTTAATTTGCCAAAATGTAGATGTTAATTTTTAAGCAATTAGACGCATTTTAACTCTTCTATGTACATGCTTATTTAAATAAGTATATTTGTGAATTCGGGTTGTTTTAAGAACTTAATCATTCAAATTTATAGGTGTGTATTGTAAATTTAATTATTTCACATTAATTTGTGAATTGTTAAGACACAAGTTTTTTGTTGAGATTATACGTTGATGCTTTTATTACTTCACAAAATTTCCATATAAATAAGAATGATTTCATGCACATTTACATATTCTAATGCAATATTTAAGACGTTGAACCTCTCTTTAAAAATACAAATAATACTTTATATGTATAAGTTTCTATAAAATATGCCGCGACTTTAATTAAAATCTTGGAATTTTATATTTAATTGAGCTGTATATTGTCTCAATTTAAATTAAATTTCAATTGATGTAAAATTGTATAAAATTTAATTGTGAAAATTAAATTTTCAAAATAAATTTAAATTTAAATTGAACTCACTTGTTCATGGTCTATGCAGATTTATGAATTTTATAAAACGTCATTCGTAACGCAACAGTAGATGTGCGAAATGTTATCAATATTTTGATATTTTTAGGAAACCATTCATAGAATCTTTAATTTTAATTGAATTTTGAATTAAATTTGCATCAGATTTTCACTGATCAAAGGGTGAATACAATTTTAATAGAGAACCACAAAATATGAAAATTATTATGACTGTATGTATATATGTATTTTAATATTTAAAATAAATTTTCTGATCCCTTTTAGTTAAGCTAATTTCAATAATTTAATATGTTCATTACTGTTTTTGAAGCTCTAATTGATTCTTATGAAAAATTTGATGGTAATCTAGAACTCCTTAGTACCTTAATAAATTATTAAAAATATGATAATTAAAATTTCCCCCAAATTCATACTTTCGCTGGTTTCATTTTAACTTAACGTCTTATATTGTTTAAAAGACGACTAAATGAAGAACTACATGGATGAACTAAAATTATCTTATGAGTCTAGGAACATGGTTCCAAACTCCAAACATAAAGCACAGTATTTAGGAAAAAAAAATGTTTGTTATTCATAAAACTTCTTCATCAACTACAAAAACTCTAATGGATGCTATAAAAATTCGAAAATAAATTTTGTGCGAAATGCATTTCGGACAATTTTTTTTTTTTTTTTTTAAACATTCTTCTTTTGTGTATGCGCTCCTTTTATACAATTCGCTTTAATCTTATCTCTATACTTCAATTTGTAGTTAAAACCGGAAAATTTTGGACCTTTTGTAAATGTTTTTCAACTTGTTGAATGTTATTGTTTATATTTGGAAATTAAAATTAAAAATTAAGCAACGTGCTTGGTATATAAAGAAAATATCTACTTCGTCCTCTACAATTTACTAACAAAATTAACATTATTCGTGTTATGACATACAAAAAAAAAAATTTTATTTTATAGATTTTCGATACTGTAAATTATTTTCAATTATCAAGTCTATAATATTTACTACAGTAAAAATTCCAATACCATGTGTAATATTATTTTCTAGCATAAATTTTTGAGTTCGAAATAAGTATTCATGCATGAAATTTCAATAAATGCGCATGTTCACAGAAAAAAAAAACGAATATAAAATCATTTTATAAAAATTCATTCATAAATATAAAAATTGAGGTTATATTCCATTTTGAAACACATTAGAAATAAAATATAGTACTGATAACAACGTAGAAACCTCTATATTTTGACAATTTAATTTCTCCTCTATATTTTGACAATTTAACATAAAAAACAAAAGTAAAACCAGAAAATTTAAGTATTTTCGAAAATCAAAGAAAAATGAGAGAAAAACTAAATGTTTTTCTAACAATGTATATTGGAAAACACATAAATGTATGTATGTATATGTGCATATTATACAAATTAATTCGGTAACATCTCAACTAAATTTTTCGTTTATAATATACCAATGTAAAATTTTTAGTAATAACATACAAAGTTTTACATTTTGCATGAGTATATGTATGTCTTAAAAAAAATCCCCTACAAGTTGCAATATAATATATATTTTTTCTATAATATATCAAAGATTAAACTAAAACTTATATATAAATATATAATATATATATTTATCTAAATTAAAAGGCAAAAATATGGAATGACTAAAAAATTTTTCTATTTTTTGGAATATAATTCGATCAGTTCTGAAATTTGAAAATATATATACAGGATGATTCAAAAAGGTATTCAACAATGTATAGCACTGGTTAGAGGATCACAAACGGGTAAAAGTGGGTGCTGAAGTAGGTGCGAAATATCGAGGGTTTACGAGATACAGAGATTTTAACGAATTTTCACAAAATTACTGCATAAACAAGTTTTTTTACTTTTAAAAGAAAGAAGCTTCAAACTATCAGAGGGCATAAATTCAATATATTACATTTTTTTGTATTTTATAAACTATCGAAAACACAGGCAATCGAACTTTAGAAAAAATTCCTAATTTTCATTTTTTATTTCTTTAGTTTTCCTTATTCCGACAATTTTGCGTGAAATTTTTAGAAACCATAATTGTTTTAGTTTTTGCCGAGTTTGTCAAGCTATAAATTTAGGTATTACCAGTTATACTTTGTTGTATACCTTTTTGAATCATCCTGTATATATAAAAATATATCTAAATCATGACATCTTCTAAAATTTGACATCGATTAAATGTGTTTAAAAAATTTATATTCATATCTAAAATTTTACTGCATAAGTCATGATCATAATCATGTTAGTATGTAACATAATTTATATAAAAATTTCTTCTCCAAAATAAATACCCTAGAGTAGAGATGAATTTTCCTGTCTTAAATTTTTTTCTTTATTACGTCATAATAATTTTTTTTTCTGAAATGTCAAAATAGTTTTCATTATATGCGTACTTAAAAAATTATGTTGGGAGAAAAAAATTTTTCATTTGAGTGTTCAGTATGATTTTTTTAATCGAAATTTTCTTATCAAGAAAATTATTGTATTCCGAAAAAAGAATTTTACAAGTGACAGTCTAAAATTTCAATTTTTTTTTGCTCTTAAATGGATTATTAAAAAAGTTAATAAAATTGTTTGTCAATCATATAAAAATTATTTAATCATTTGAAATTCATTAATTTCTTCATCATCTCTTCAATTGAAATTAATTAAAAGTTATAAAAATAAATTCTAAAAAAAAAAGAGCAGAAAAAAGCGAAATAAGAAAATTTCAATACAAAATTATACACAAAAATATTTCTTATTCACTTTTCATTTGATAACCAGCACGTACGCCATCTGTTGTCCGCGTATAACTGAATAGCAGGAAAAAAAAATTTAAATTGTATTCGTACATCTTATTTTAGTATTTGTACTAAAATAATTTTTTCCTTCAACAAGTAAAATTTATATTACATTGCATATGAGAGTGATATGTTAATTGACATTTAAAAGGTATTAATTGACATTTAAAAAAAATAGTAATTGTAAAGAGAGAAAAGAATAGAAAATAAAATTTAATACTAATACAATAAATATATGTATATATAAATATAATAACAACAAAAATAAAAATTTCAGGAGCAATTAACAAAACGGCATTAAAAAAAAAATATGAATATAAATTTAGGAATATCAACAGAACCATCATTACTTGGTGTTGATTTACCTAGTAATGGTGGCACAATTTCAGAATCACCATCGGTTTCCACATTTCTACCTGAAGAAGATGCATCAATATGCCCATTATTACCGACAACACCGTCACCACCATTAGTATTCTCACATCCATTAACACCAAGCGCTGGTGATAATTGTAGTGACAATTCAGGTATTATACCCGATACAAAAGCCGAAACAAGTTCATCGGGTAGTAGTACTGGTATTGCTATGGACGTTAATGAAAATACAACTGCTACAACATTATTTAATAAAAATGCTTATCATCATTTGGGAAAAAATTCTGATAGTGGATTTCATCAAGTAAGTTTTATAAGGATTCAATTTAATTATTAAAATTATGTATGGAAATAAAATTTATGTGTGTTTATTAAAATTGAAAAAAAAAAAATTTATACGTAACACAAAAGTAATTAGGTCGTTAATTTATTTAAGGTGACACAAGGTCATTTTTACTGTTAGTTTGGTTTTAATTATTTTATTGTATACTTCAATTTTGTTTTCATTTTACAATGACATATATGTCGAAGTTTTATGTTATACGTATGTTAAATAAATGCGTACAAGTAGAATATAACACTTTTTAGGTTTATATTTTCTCAGATGGTTGAGATTACGACAAAATCCTTTTGGATTTAAAAACAGTATACGCAAATCGGAAATATATTTTTAAACCATTCGTATACATTTGATATTTAAGCATTAATATGATACTTACTTAGTAAGTATTTAAATGACAATATACAATTACTCTATTTATAACAATAATATTGATAACTGTAATAAACTGTAATAATAAAATTTGTTTGAAAATTTCGTTATTAATCCACGGGCAACACAAATCTGTACAACAATAATTTATTCAATTTAAAATTACTTACTAAGTAAGACACTCTAAACAATTTTGTATTATTTTTGGTATTAATAATTTGTATTACACATTTCAGGAAAGTGGGCTCAAACAAAATGGAAACATTTTAAATTTACCTCTCTCAAAAGACGCTCCATGTTTTGTATCCTGGAATTGGCCATTAATTAGAAAATGTACATTTTTTGTATTCATGTCCAGTTTATTAGCAATGTGTGCAATTGTAGTAGCAATGATAATTACTTTACCAAAAACATGCAATCCTAAGTAAATTAATTTTATTTTTTGTTTATAGTTATAAAATTAAATTTTATAATATTGCAATTTTAGAGCAGCATGGTTTCGTGGTAGTGTTTTCTATGAAATTTTTCCAGCCAGTTTTAAAGATTCTAATAAAAATGGTGTAGGTGATTTACAGGGTATAACTAGTCATGTTGAAGATTTACAACGTTTGGGATTTGGTGCAATAAGATTAAATTCAATATTTGCTTCATATAATTATCCAGATCAATATGAAAATATTACAAGTTTATTAGAAATTGATAAAAGTGTTGGTACACCAGAACATTTAGAAGAGTTAGCAATGGCATTACATAGCAAAAATATGTCTTTAATACTTGATTTACCAATAAATATATATTTGCCAGAATTGGAAAATTTCTTTGAAACTGATGAATTCTCTGGAATTGATGACAATGATACATATAGAATGTCACAAAAAATGGAAGATCCTGTTGGTAATACAATGTTACATTGGTTACGATATGGTATAGATGGTTTTTATATAAAAGGAATAGAATTATATAAAGATAAAAATGATAAAAATTTAATTAAATTTTTCCGTAATTGGAAATATTTATTAGGAGAAGATCGTGTTATCATTATTGATTATAATTTTTTTAATAATATGGATAAATCATTAGCAAAATCTATTCTTAATTATGTTGATTTAGTTGAATTTTATTTAGATATATCAAAGGGTACTAAAAATATAAAAGAACAAATCGATAGCATTTATACACAAAATGATTTAATTAAACCTGGTGAAAAAACTACTTGGATTCAATGGTCATTAGGTGGTGTTAATAGGCAAAGATTATCAAAAGATAGAACGAGTAATGCAACATTGGCAGCAACAATAATGCAAATAATGTTACCTGGTACACCAAATATATTTTATGGTGATGAAATTTCATTAAATGAATTTAAAGATCCAAATAAAGAACATACAGAAAATAAAAATTTACATCATTTACCACCAATGAAATTTAGTAATGGAGCACGTTTTACAAATGGTAGATCATTACCATGGCTACCAGAAAGTAATGATTCAGCATTAGAAAATGCAAAAGATATTAGTAAAATGATTAAATTACGTGATAGATCACCATCAATATATAAAAATTCAATTTCTAAAGATGATAATGAATTTCCAAATACAAATATACGTAGTGGTGATGATATTATTGTAATTGAAAGAAATTACCCAAGACGAAATAGTTTTGTATCTGTTTCGAATTTTGGTAAAAATAGTGTACAAGTTGATTTGAGTTCATTCTTTTATAGCGGTCAAATATTAATTGGTGGCAAAGATATTGGAAAAATTTATTTTTCAGATTTTGAAATTGGTCCAATGGAAACTATTGTCATTAAATTAGATAAATAAATTAACTGCTGAAATCATAATGGCATATTAATTATATATGTATATATATATATATACATTATGTACAAAAATTATAAGGAACAACAAATTTACATCTAACATGCACAATTTAAATCAAACAACATTGAAAATGAAATCAAACTACGAAAACTATTTAAAAGAGTAAAAAAAAAATATAAATGTAAAAATTTTTTTATATTTTATTTATAATTTTAAAATTTTAAATGTTACTTAATTACACTTAATATCAGATTGTAAGAATGATTTTAATAAATATTTTAAAATAATTTTGGAATAATTCATTCCGTCAGCAGTATGTTTTCACAACAGCCTAACTGATTCTTTGCGGTATATTATTTTCTAAGCATAAAAGAAGTGAACAACTATAATTGCATACTTTCAGGAGGTCATGATAGTGTTAACTTTTGAAAATTGATTAACGCTTAATATAGTTGCTACAATTTGCATCAAAACTTTCTATTATATGAAGACTCCATTATAGATAGAACAGGGGCAACAGCGCTTCAAATTAGCAATTCAATATTTACAAAAGTATATTTCAATTGGAGAATATATCTTGAATGAAGAAAATGTTAAATATTTTCAGTTGTGTGTAAGGCAGTCTTCGTTTATGCACACTGCACTAAGTTTTTTATTGTTTACGCAGTCTACAAATTCCGAAACTTCTAAATAATTAGTGGTTCGGAAATAATAGAAATGACATTATTTATCAAATTGTATCGCAATAGTTTTCGACTTCCAATTCGCTGGAACATCGAACATTTTAACAAGATTTTAAGACTTAAAGAAAGCTTACTTCAATATCTGAATATGCCATTTTGAAATTTAAGATTTTTCTTTAATTTTAAATTAAAAAAAAAAGAAATTTCATGAGGCAGCGACAAAATTTAAGCTAAAGGTATGCGCAACATTTCTGACATTTCTTTATTACAGAGTGAATTTTCGAACGCAATTTCTTACAGCCAGTAATTTCCGAACGATCTATATTTGCAGTGTATGTAGCGTGAATTTTTGAACGTACTACAAGCTAGAACTATTCTAGCACTAAATAAACGAAAACCATGAAAAAAGTTGATTTACTAAATTTTCCTTTTATCGACAATGTGTCAGGACCAACTGAAAGAACTAGTAACTACAAAAATTAATTATGAAATAACTCGTTCTTTAAATTATTCGGACATAATTATTAAATTTGTTGACATGATTAAATTTCAGGGCCTCTAAATTTCTGTTGCCGCAGACCTTGTATTTTCTCTGAAAGTCACTGATTATATGCATTGTAAATTGTTTAATGTTAATTATGGTAAATTTACAAAACAGAATTTTTTAACCACATCTGTCTTATTTAGAGGTATTGTATTTAATCAGCCTACTTTACACCCTACCTTCAGTCACTTAAAACGAATCAAATCTTCGGCATTACTTTGTACTACTTCATTTTATTTTTAATAAATATAAATATAATAACAGTAACATATAAAAATCTTCATAAAATTATCAAAATATAATTTTGAGTATTTTTTTCTTTAAATTTACTTTTATATCCTATGTGTTAATCCTCCTAACATAAATCTTAAAAATAATATTTAAAAATATACACTTGGTTTGCATGCGTACTTTGTACATAATCTCACTTAAATTATCATTTTCTTTTAGAAAAATTTCATTTTTCTTTTTCTTTATATAAATATATCTCTATATAGCTATATTAATTTTATTTTACACACTATTTAAACATAATTTTCTTTTGATTTTTAATTTCTACTCTTATAATTAAAAATTAATTCAATTCTCTATTTTCATTAACCAACTCAATGATTTCTGTATCACAAACTGCTTCACTAAAAGCTCCAAGAAATACCATACATCGTATGAAATTTCTTTTTCGTTTGTGTTCAATTTCTTGATGGTATGCATTATAATGGCTTGGATAACCGATTGGTGTTGAACCGACACCAATAGCTAATGGTTCTACTGGATGAATATCGAAATTTAAATTGACTTTCTGTGCCATACGCATAATCCAAGCAACAACAAAAAAGCATGCAGCATTCATTGGAAATGCTCTCAACAAAGTTGATGCTAATCCTCGACAATAAAATGAATATCCTTCAGCTTGATATCCCTTTCTAATACAATCAAATAATCCATTATATTTTAATGTACCATTCATACCATCAGCTTGTAATGCTGATTTTACAACATCAATCGGAAATGTTAACATCCATGATACAGTACCAGCTAAACCACCAGCCATTAATGTACGAAAAGCTGATGGATTTTCTGATTTTCCCATCATTAATTCATATGAGACGAAATAGCTTGCAAAACCTTAAATATAAAAAAAATTAAATTAATTACAAAACAAAATCCCTTATCGGTTTATAATAGCAGCCTAATGAAATTTATGCTTACCAGGAACATCTCTCATTGCTGTAATACCCAATCCTCTATAAACTCCTCTTATACCTTCAGTTTTTCGGATATATTTTAAACATTGTAAAGGTCCTTTATGTTTTATAGCTCCGGCAACATCAGCTTGTAATTGAATTCGTGTTTTTGCTAATTCCATTGGAGAACATACTAAACTTTGAATTAAACCAGCTAATGAACCAGCTATAAAATGCGATTTCAATGATTCAGGATTATTTGAATTTCTTTGAACATTTCCGTAAACACCGAATACAATAGCATTGACAAGAGCAACACCTGATAAAGGACTTGTTATACCACGATATAAACCTCCAAATGAATCTTTGGCAACAATTTTCTTGAAACAATCAAATGTTCCACTGTATAATGGTCGTTTCGCATCCTGTGTTTGAAGATGAACTTTAACTGTATCGAATGGATGACCAACAAGAACACCAGCACAACCTGGAATTTTTTGAAACTACATTAAGATATTTAATAGTCTATAAGTTTTTCAAATGTTTTGTAGAACAATAAAAATTGAAAATTTAGTTTTTAAGGAAACCTTTATGTTCTATTTCGAAAAAATACTGTATAAGTTAAAAGTTTCTTAACGTTTACATATACAGGTTTCTAAAACATATTTTCAATAATTAATTTAAAATATTATCCAAAAATAATTCGTGATAGATACCTCCCAAACAGCCAGCTACAAAATCTAGAGCCATTGAATAATTCTTGGCAATTCAATTTCCACTTACAATAAATTATTAAAAATTTTGTCTTTTTATTTCTCAATGATTAACAATAACACTGAAAATAAAAATAGAAATTAATTTAAATAAATATATTTGATAATTTGCTAAAATATAATTAAAATATATTGCTAAAAATTTCAAGAATAAAGGTTAAAAATTATTATTAGAAAAATCTAATGTGTAGTACAAATTATTATGAAAGTACTTGTATGAAATGAAAATTTTGAAGGTCTTTTTGTCAGACAAAATTCTGATATCACGTTTTGAATTCATTTTTGATTTCCCTCGAATAAAAGGCCTTGTGATGTTAACATTGACATCTTTATGTGCTCTAAATTTGTATTCTATTCGACGAAATACAAGCTGTTTCCAAAATAATGAAAATTATTCGGTTTATTCATCCAAATTCTTTTTATAGAAGATTTCATTGAATTTTAAATTTTGTTAAATCAAATATAAATTTATAATTCTGAATGAAATTTTGGAATATACAGAATGTTAAAGCAATAGGTGGCTTTAAGTATACAAAGATTTTCCGTTGAATTATTATGGTACAAAAAAAATACTATGCATTTCGTTTGCGGGAAAAAATTTATTTTATATTCAAATATGCAAAGACATAATACAATTTTACTGATTTAAGCACAATTTGAACAGCAAATATTTTAAGTTTGTGATTATATAATTAAATATTTCGTATATAAGGTTAATAACTATTAAAAGTTTTAAAAAATATTAAGCCCAAATCCTAAAATCCATTTAAAGTTTATATTGTATGAGATTTCTAAATAATCTTTCCAAACTTGAAAAAAAATTTCAATTTCTTCCAATTGCAATATTTACATGAATCTGTTGAACAAATAAAATGTTCTAATTTTCATACAAGCTCCCAATTAACCTAATTAAATGCCCTAATTTTTTCTGATCTTAACAATATTGCATTAACACTTCCCTGTTATAATTTCTAACTATGTCAATAATTCTAACTTTTCATATTTTAATACGTATTAAGCTGCTAAAGAAAATTTTCTCAATTTTACAAACTACAATTCCAATCTTAGTAATCTGATTTTTTTTTTTACATTTATCTTGCCCACAATATGTGACACAAAATATATGTTTGTATGTACTTTGAACTTTTTATTAAATTATTACAATTATTACATATATGTAGTTCTATACACAATTTATATATTTAAAATCTAGCACAAATTTCATTTTCCAAAGCTTTTTTTTTTCTTTCTTCAACTCCTCGCTCACATATAATTTATAGTACATACATGAGTATATAACAAGATTTTGAATGTAATTAATTGCCAATCCACTTAAATGAGTAATAAATTTTAATATTATAAATCTAATTTATATAATAGTAATTATATATGAAGTACATATAATATTTTTAAAATATTCTATAATAATTATAGTTTCGAGATTAAAAAAAAATCAAGTGGCATCATTTATAACCGTATTAAATAATTTCGCATTTTATTTGAATTCTGGGTTTTTTTTTTCGTTCTATTGAAGAAAACTTTCTTATCACAAGAAAACAAAAAAAAAAAACAAAATCGCAGCACCAGACAGCGGTCGCGTTCACTAGCTATATAGATATTTGAATTTACAATACACTTCATATAATAATTATGGTGTACACGTGAATTTTTATGTGATTGAATTTTCTTAAAAGTTTTTTATATTTTCATATTCTCTACATATGTATATAAAGGTTTCCCAATAGAAGAAGGTTATATTTTGCTTATTATTATTATTTTTTGCTTTTTTTTTCTGTTTCATGAATTAAGAATCTTAAAACACTTTACTATTTTTACTATATAAAACGAAAAAAAATAACGACATACTGATTACACATAATTTCTTCTATCGTAATACTTTTATAATTGTATAATTAAAGTGCTAATGACTTTTTGATAAGCGAATAATTTTTTTTTTATAAATTTTATTTTAAAATTTTAATCAATTAAATTATTGTGAACTAGTTTAATCAGAGAAAATTTATATTGTAACTAAAATGTTAATTGAAGAATTAATTCGAATGAGTTTACTACTACAATAAAGGAGATTGAAAATTTAGATTTTAAAAAAAAAGATGTTATGCGCCAGATGCACTCTGAATTATTATTGGATTTTCAATTGAACAAAAGTTAAAAACAGAAAAGTAGAAAAAAAAATTATTTGTATAAAAAGTAATTGATAATTTTATGGAAAAATAAAAAATAAATTTTCCCTTCAAGGAATTTTCCAGTTCTTAATTTACTATATTAAGGCAAATAATTAATCCTTAATTAGAAGTTTCTTATCTTCTTTTAATATTTTCAAGAACTACAAATAATTGAGCAGTTATAATGTATTTTAGTAAATAAGTAATTGAAATATTAAGTATATTATTATAATTTCTTAGAAATTCTTAATTATTTAATTAAGTTTATATTGAAAATATCGAACAGAATATTCAAATCAATGAATTTTTAATCAATGAACAATATTTAGTTTACTTGGTTTAAACATAAACTATGGTCAAAAATATATGGGCTAAAATAATTGCTAAGAATAGATATGGTGTGTATCCTTACTAAATTAAAAATAATTAATAAAAATTAAATTCACATTTAATTTACTTGTTATGGTATTGTGTAACAAATTGTTTTAAAAAAACAGTAAGTTATTTGAATCAATACCTTTACCACTGCAATGACATAAAAAAAATATACACGTTTAATAATTATTAAGTGATTAAGGCCATTTCCGGTTAAATTCCTTTAACAATCAAATTAGAAATGAGGATTCTAAATACGAGGCTGTTTTATGCTTTTCTTGATTTATTTAAAAAGAAAAATAAAAATGTGATATCAGAATATGAGATTTTAGATCCAATTATTGCATGCTTAAAAGTTCAATTACATACACACAAATACTGAAATCACGAAATTAAACGCAAATTTTAATTCCTGTTATAATTTTTGAAAATTTTTTCGCGACATTTTCGTTTATCTTCCTTTAAATATATTATATAAATTATAGTAATTTAATAATTTATTGTTTTTTAACTTCAGACTTAATAATAATATTGTAAAAATATTTAATTATACGTAAATAAATTTAGGGCTTATCAAATAATTAAAAACAAAAAGTAAATGCTTAAAAATAAAAATAAAAAAACTGGTAATTAACCGGAATATGTTTAAAATGTCCATTTGATTGGCTCAATTTTATTGAAGGAAAGGGGTAACAAGTGGAAAAAGAAAATATTTTTGTACTTATTTAGTGTTTCATTAATGAAATGCATTTTTTCAAGTTCAATGAATATTCTGACATAATAATAAATTTTACAGATTAATGATAAATTATTTTATTAAAAGAAAATAGCGACAAAAAATAATCAAGTTTAAGTACACAAATTGATAACACAAAAAATATTGAATTCAGATTTGGAAAATTATGTATTTGGGTTTAAAATTTTTCTTTTACAAACTTCCTTTAGTTTATTTTACAAAATAAATTGAAATATCTAGCATAAAAATCTAATTTTTTTTATATTAATTGAATTTAATTTAATTTTTATTTATTACAAAAAAATAATTTTCAAAATTTTATAAACTAATGAAGCAGTGTTGTTACGTGAGTAAACAATACAGTAATATAGAATACAAAAATATTTTTGAATATTTTGTTGTTATTGAAAAATATTTCTAAGCAAAAGGTTCGCCTAAATTTATGCAATGTGTTTCAAAATATTCTAAGCACATTAGATTTGGAAATAATGCTTGTAATTAAATGTGTAAATATGTACGTATTTTTTGTTTCCGTAAGATTAAAGCAAGTTTCTTTAAGGCATTTAATAAACAAGAATTTATTTTGTTATCAGACGTTTGTTATAATTTCTAACTTGGATCTTTAGCATTAAATTGGCGCTATGATATAAAGTATAAAACATAAAAACCAAAAAGACGATACAAAACAAATCTGAGTTGCAATAAGTGATTTTCAGTCTTATAGGAAGGTAGGAAATAAATTAAGATTAGTAAGAAAATAACATAAAACAGTTAATATATAACAGTAATCCAAAAATAAGCTGTAATAAGCTACACTAGTTTAATATAGTTCTCAAATAGAATTTAAATTACAAAACAAATTATTTTTAAAAATAGTCTCGTAATATTGTGGTAAAAAAATAAACAACATAATTGACCTTACGTAATAATGTCGTCACAAACTTATTCCTATACCATTATCTGTAACATGCAACAACATTGCATTAAAAATTTCTACTAATTTGTTTGGGAAATTCTGTCAGAGACGAAACATTTAGAAGAAAAATTGATGAATAAAATATTACGTCAGTCACTATTTCATACATAATTGTACCGAACTCATATTAATTAGTAATATAGGATGACATGAGCATTTTTATACGATGAAGCTCAATACGGTTGAAAATATCAACGGAACGGATTGGTTACTTGAACCTAATATGCACATGATGAACGTGAACGAAATACTCGTAAATTGTTTGGTTGCATATACATAGATCATTTGCTTGTCTGTAATAATATTCGTTTAAGAATATGAAAATATAGAAAACCCAAAATTATAACAGGGCAACTTTAAATTTACTTCTGAAACAGAAAATCTGTTTTCTTTTATTTGCTCTTTTACTCTGCTTCGACTGTAATTAAAATCCCGAATATAAAGAGCTATTTATATTTAAAAATAATAAATATTTTATTATTATCAATTCACAATACATCTGTTGCAATAATTTTTAATAATTTATTTTTTTTTTTAAAATTCATTATCAAGATTCAAATATAAAATAAATGCGTAGCTTTTTTTTCCTTTTATTCAATATAAAATGCGAAGTATATCAGTCCAAAGTATAATTTTATTAAGAACCTTTTCATAATAAAAATAAAAAATATTTAATATTCAATATATTTGAATTATATATATATATATATATATATATATATTTATATATGAGCCGAAAATATTAAGTGCAAATATGATTAAAAAAATCATCAAATATTACAAAGTCAAGTGCTGCGATATTTTTCCATGCAATTTTATTGATTAAGTTCAGTATAAAACGATTGTAACGCCTTAGAGTCATCTAATATTCTAAATAATATAAAATTAATGTTAAATTTCAATAGCACATGTAAAAATACGACAGCTTTTTTAACTGAAATTAAGATTAGCGAGAATCAATTGAATTTTTTTTAATTCTTTTGAATTATTTGAAAATTTCCATCCTGTATGTTGTTGCCAAAATTATTTACTATGCATTTTTTGTTATATAAAATATTTTCAATATAACATAAATTCAATTTAATTCCACTTATTTGATTTTAGAGTGTTAAAATTCTTTGACATTGATTTAATTCTTAATCAATTATTAATCAATTCTTAATCAATTTATTAATCTATAGAGGAGACCATATAATATGGGCACAATACAAAATATTAAAGATATTCAAGATAACAAATTTATATAGTCAACATAATAGTAAACAACTCATAATTTAAGTATAGTATATAAGAGGTAATAGTCAAGGTTATAATTAAAATTAGACCCCCCATAAAATTTGATTAAAAATAAAAGAGTAAACTTCTAATCTAAATAAATTTCGATTAATTGAATATTATAACAAATAAGTATAAATATTATACGATTATTTTAACGTTTATAACAAATTTTCATATATTTATTCAAGTATACTTGAACAATTGCTTTGTCAAGTTGTATAAGTTTAGAATTAATTAAACGCCATTTTTGGAAATTGATAGTAGAACATTAAAAATTTTATTTTAATCATATTGTGCTGTTGGCCCCGCAATCTTCAACAATACAAACTATTAAACCTATATATTTAAAATTTTTACAAAATAAATATTAAAATTAAATAATAATTTTTTTTATATGGGCTTGGATACTGTCAACTATAATTTGTTTTTAGCTAAATGACGCTTCATTTTTTAAATTTTGTTTACTTTTCTTCAAGAGTTTAATCCCCTTAAATAGTAATTTAAAAGATTTATACCTATAAATTATATGATGAGGCTTTTAACTAAGATTTATTAATTATGATTACGTACTTGAGTTGGATTATATAGTATAAATATTTTTATTGAATTTTTATTAAACAACTATACGAATTATATATAGAAAACTAAGTACATTTAAAAAGAAAATATAATATCAAAAAGGAAATAAAAATCAATTATTTTAGTGCTGATAAATGCTGCCAAATGCAAGGTACCGAAAATGAATACCAAACTCAAATGAATCCTTAACATTATATCGAAAATTTGATATTGATCGTCTATCTGTTCGTACATATGTTCTATAATATACAATGCAGATACTTATTTTATTTAATTTTAGTTTTTCTCAAATTTTAAGCAGTTCGGGATAAGTTAGGAACATTAAATTTAAGTAAAATGAGAGTCTGGTATAAATTTCGTAAAATACTTAAATTTTATTTTTTCTCATTTAAAAATATAGAATAAAAGTTCTAAAGTATCAAAAATAACTAATGCAAAACTTCAAAGTATTCTTAAAACACGCGTATTATACAATTAACATTTATATGGGGCATTCCGAGCTCATTCCATTATCTGAATGGTTTCTTTAATTTTCATAAATGAATTTTTGTTAACTGTCATCGTACATTTATTCCAATAGAATACATTTCCATTTTTTGTAAAAACACACCATTTCACTATAGCTTGAAAATTTTCAATTTTCTCAAATAAGCAAATTTTGAGTTAAACCATAATGTTGAAGCAAACAAGCAAAATATTTATTTAACAAATTGGAAACAAATTAACACATGAGAAAGCTTTACTAATAAACTTAGTGATATGAAATGAAACAATTATATGATTCAAAGCTTTTATGCATAGCTTCTATATATAGAATATAGAATTCAGGATAAAAGAAAGTGAAACAAAAAAAAATTATATCTTAAATTACAAAATAATTGAAATTTAAGAAAAATTATTGTATACAAAAAAATTTAAAAGAAAAAAATAGTTAAGACTTAGAATTACAAAATTTCATTAAAAAAATAAAAAATTACTTACCTTAATATCAGTCTTTAGTATAGATCCTTAAACGGATTAAAAATATTTATTTTCTTTATTTTTTTTTTGTTTTATTATAACAAAAATATCGAATTATACGAAAGTATTAAATTAAAAATTTAAAATTAAAATTAATTTTTGAAAAATATTTCAAAGAACAAACAAAGATTTCATTAAAACGAAAAAAATTTTTATATAACCCAAATGCATAAAAATCGTCTTAAATTTTTTGTATTAAAAATTTTCATAATTTTTGAATTAAAATCGAAAAAAATTCTACAAAAATTATGAATTAAGTTTTTTTTCTTAATTAATTTTTTACAATAATTTGTTTAAATCAAATTTTAAATGTTTACATTAAAAACAAAATAATTTTCTATTTTTCTATTTAAATTTCAATTTCACACTTTTTATTTTGTATGTCTTTTTGAACCAATTAATTCCTTTGGACTGATCCGTTTTTGAATCGGATTCCCAGTAATAATCTAAAATATTAAGCTTTCCCACTCCGTTTTTATTTTTTCCCATTTGAAATTTTTATTTTCTTCTTTTTATATATTTTTGCGATTTTAAATTTCAAAAAAGAAAAATAAGAAAAGGAAGAAAAAGAAAAAAGTCGAATGATAACAATGATAAGAGAAAAATTTTGCGTGTTTTCTTTTTTTTTCTATTTTTTTTTTTGTTTTTTTTTTTGTTATGAATGGAAAAATATTTTATTTTATTTTAATTTTGAAATATTATTATATAAATACAATTTTTTTTATTTAATACCAATATAACTTTTAACAATAATTGCATATTCGCGCTTTTTAGCGAAACATGCAAATATTTCGCTATATTTAGCTAAAATATTTATAATAATTTATATGGCAACGCTGTGGTTTTAAATAAGAACAGCATATTATACTAGGTTGTTATACAGACTATTATACTAATATTATAACAATAAAGATTTTGGGGACTATGAAATTATTTTTAGAATACAAGAAGACCCAAGAGAAAAGAGAAAATTAACAAGTAAAATTATTTTATTAAATTTGAAAATTTAAATATAGGGTAAGACATTCTATATAGATAAGTGTAAATGTCTCCTTAGAAATTCTTAATCTTATTAAATTAATTCTTAATCTTAGTACAGATAAGTAGAGCTTATTGTTTTAAAAAAATTTAACAGAAGAGCAGCTGTAATAACTTATCACTGCTATTCTCCAATAAAATTGTAATAAAGTTTAATGTCATTATGAAAACTTGAAATAAATTAACCATTTTTTGGAATATATTAATTAAAATTATAATGTCGACTGGACCCATGAACAAGTAATTCGAAAGGGAATTTCAATTGTAAGCTTTTCTTGAATTATTAAGTAATTTTCTTTGAATATTTTGTATTACAAATTAAATACTAATATTGACCAATTTGAATATTTCAAAGTACTACAAATTAAACACCAAACACATGCATCTTTCTATTATACATACACATCATAGGATTTCGTATGCGCCTAAACTATAGTAACGAAAATTGAGTTTTTCTCTAGCAAATTGGAAAATTGAATTTTGTTTAAGCCCTATTATAGCAAACAGTTTTTCTAATATTAAAATAATGTAGTCTTAAATTATATTTTTATATTTTATCATATTATAATTTGAATAAGCTACAATTTTAAACAATAACTTATATACTAATCAAGTTCCTACATTGATATATAAAAAATTTAACCATATAGATTTTAATTAAATAAAAAAATTTGGATTTAATATAAAAGTTGGTTTTTTTGAAAGAGGTATAAGTCCATTTTTTCATATATTGAGATATGTAAGCGGTAAGCGTTTGAATCAATTTAAAAATATTGGCCATAATAACATAATATGTTTATTTTAGGTTTAAATAGAATTCTATTGAAATTGTGATTGTTACTGTTGAGAGAAGGTGTCTATAGCTTATCAAAATTACCATTAACATTGTCTTTTTAAAAAGCGGACTTATACTACTTTCAAAAAAAACCAGCCCAATTGTCTCTAATTAATTCCACTCGTTTTAATTACACAGTTTCGTAATAAATTCGACAAAATACAAAATCAGATCAAATAATTAATAACAAAAAATCTAATAATAAATTCAATGCAATCACCATTTCAGATTCTTAGGCTTGTATGTATGATATATGTGTGCGAATATAAAGAATTTAAAATATTTTGTTTGAGTGCATACACCAAGCAATTTGTTATATGAAATGTAAACATCCATCTATACCTACCCATATATACCAATAAATAATGAAACTTATCAAAAATTTCAAAATCATTATCTAATTAATTTTAATTTTTACAAAAAAAAAAAATTAAATTGATTTTTTTTTGTTTAAAATATTAGGCAAATGAACTTCAACATTATATTTATAGACGATTATAAGTAAAAGTAGAAGATCACATATAACATGATCAAATTTAAAACGCAAATATTATACTAAGTACAATAACACCCCCCTCCAAAAATTTTTCAACTTATTGGTTTATTTTTTTTTTTTTTTGTACTAAAGTTGTTCTTCAGCAACAACAATATTTGAACGTAGACAAAATTTCAATTTGCTATCGTTGTTATTTTTTTTTTGTTGTAGCAAAGAAACCATCATTATCCTTGACGTCATGCAGAAAAAAAAAAATTTTTATAGTTTTGTCTATTTTTGTACTTACTTGCATTGCTTTCAATATTATACGAAGAGACTAAATTTTTCAGCAATAGCAGCTTTGATCTAGAAACTGAAGACTTCACAACAACCAATAAAAGTGCGATTTTTTTTTATGAGATTCATTTTATGCTTGCTCTTTAATAGCTTCTATATATAACAAAATATATGAGAACAGCTGATTATCAATAATTATTGACGATTTTAAAAGTAATTTGAGGTTATCAAATAATAAAATTCTTTATTTTTTTTTCCTTCTCTCAAATATTTTATGTTTTGATTTCAAAAACAGGGGGTCAATCTTTCTAATGCTTTTATTGTACATATGCATATACATACATAACTGTTTATGTTAGTATACACATATATTATATGTTTTTTTTTAGTATACCGTTTATGCACAGTTATTTTTAAGAATATTGATGTCATCACATTTCCTCTGGTTTTTTTTTTTATAATAAAAATTTTTCAAATCATTATATACTACTAATTACGAATTATAATATTAAAATTTTGTTAAAGAAAATTGCGTAAATTAAAATTTATAGTTGATTAATTGCATATTACGCATAAATCATAATGAAAAACAAGTATACGTAAGAATCTAAGGATCGCAAATTTTTAACGTATACGTTATGAGTAAATTCTATCACGTTTTTATTAATTTCTTTTGCACACCATAATCCCACAGTTAGAAAGTATAGAATGTAATATAAAATTGGTTACAGCGATATATGTATACCATACTAAGTTACAAACAGATTAATGCTTAAGGTGTACATTAGACACGCAATGACCCATAAAACCATAGGCCACATTAAATATGTTTAAACAATTTCTTCCAAAATAAAAATTTTTTTGATTTTCGTATAAGCAAATTATTTTCTAACTTAATACTACATTGTTTATATGAAAAAAATTGAAAAAATGTTGAAAAAATGGTTTCACTCTGTTCGTCCATCCGGCCGACCGTTTCTGTTTCTGCCTATACGTAACTTCCACACACTTGAAGAAAGAAATCTTAAATTTTGTATACAAATAGATCTTTACTAGAAATTTAATTCCATGGAAGAAAAGTTTCACTTATCCCCCTTCCTACCCCCTCCACCACCCCTCCCCACCCGCTTAGCACTTTTATTGCCCGCAATAGAAACCACAAACATTTCATTTATTTTCACCCACATTCAAAAAGTCGGTTAAAATAACCCTTATCTAGAAATTGTTTTTTTTTTTCGTTTTCTTCTAGTTCTTCTATAAGTTGCAGAAATCTGAAATTTTAGCAAACCCTTGACATTAATAATAGATTTATTTCCCTTGAACAATTTTTTTTTTCAACTCCGAAAAATAACTCTGAAGGGTTTTGAAAATCTGTTAAGTTTGAGCTTTCAATTTCCGGAACTGCAAGATAATGGTAAATACCGCAACATCAAAGAATATAATTATTTATCATAACTCATTTAATTGACATTCGAATTTGACCATTCTTGTTAACACGCTTCTTTAAATTTTTTTTTTCATTCATCCTAAATATTAATTGAAATTGCTAGACAGTATAATAGATTATTGTTTAGAAAAAGTATTTTCACTTGTCCGAGGAGCTACTTCATAAACTAATGGTTTGATACTATTAAATTTAATAACATTTTTGAATTAGAACTCTATATATTCGCACAACATTACGTAACTAAACTATTTATTTATTTTAAAATCCACCCCTGGCAAAAAGTAAATAAAATTTTAGATCCAAATTAGTACTTTCAAGTACTTGAAAACCAGAGATTCAATACACTCAAATGAGAGTACAAACACTCAAATTTAATTTTTTTTCTTCGACTTAGAGTAGACCCAATTTCTTTTATTCAATAATAATAAAAAAAAAAAAAAAAAACATTTTTTTTTCAAGGTTTTTTCACTATTTATACAATATTTTTTTTTTTTTTTCAATTCATATCAAAATTATGTTTTGCCTCTATTTTATTTCTACTTTTTATTTTCAATTATTAGCCTATTGAATAATTATAAAATTATAAAATATACATATATACATATAAGTATAGAAAATTTTGAACTTTTTGCGCTAATAAGACGAACCCCCTTATCAGACGTAATTAAAAGAAAAAAAAAAACATTTTTAATGTATGCTTTTTGTTTTCATTTCTCGCCTTTTTTGCAAAAACAAAAAAAAAAATTGAATTTTTTTTTTTTAACTTAATAAAATGTAATGACAGTAAGCATCACGTTCTTAGTGCCGGATTGAAGATAACCAATAGCCATACAATACATGTATATATTTGTACGGTGTTAAGTATGTATATGGAAGCTATTTAGCTACTTATTTTGAGAGCTGATAAAATTATTTAATAACGTTTCTTTTTTTTTTTATTTTTCTATTTCAAATAAATTATTTTGAATAGATTATTCTAAGTATTGTTTATTAGTATATAGGTTTGTACA